AGGCGCTCACAAAGATGAGGCACTTAAATTGGTCATCGGTCAACTCTCGGAGGTTGAACCGTTGACATCCCTGGTTGACAGTACTGACAAGTGCTAAAAAATCATCCGCCTCGTTTTTCATCAGCTTGAGACACTGGTACCGAATACTGAAGAAAGAAGACTTTTTACAGAAAGTCTCTGAAAGGCGCTGGACGGTTTCACCGAAAGTGAAGTCACGAGGGTGTTTCGGCAGAATGACGTCCGCGTACCACCTGGGTTCTCTGGTGCCCAGTTTGCGTAAAACCAGGCGCACCTTCCATGCATCATCGGCCTTGGCAAATGCCATGCGGAATATGTCTTCTGAACTTTTGAACCAAGCGTCAAAGGTAACGCCGGTGTCGGCGTCATAAATGAACTTAGTGATAGAAGCCGCAGTGGCGTCCCCTGATGTGGACCGTTTAGCAGAAGAATCTGGGTCAGACAAATGCAAACTGAATTTTCGCATTACAGACTCCATCACTTTCATGTGTGCATCTTTAAATGGCTTTTGCTGTTATTGCAGGATAGCAAGAAATTGTTCGGAGGAAATGGGCATAATGAGTTCTGAGACTGCGTTGCCATATGTTGTAATGGACGCCCAGACCGAGATAGTACCGCCCAATGACGCCTTGTGTGAGTCCTCAAAGGAAGAACACGACAAAAGAGGTCCGTCTGCAGAAGTCTTTCATTGTATGAGATAGAACGTATTTAGGAAACAAACGCGTGTAAACGACGTCCTTGAGTGCACATTAGCGGACGCAGCAGCTACTTCTATCAGAGAGTTTTCTTACGATCCCGACTCTGGCGTTACTTTCGACGATTGGTTTAAAGGTTGGGAAGACATATTCTGTGTGGAGTTTGCTGAGGCTGACTATGATTGGAATGTGCCCTGCTACTATGCAAACTGGGCACTAAAGCGCACGAGCGGTACACAGATATCATACAGCCGAAACTTCCCTCATGATTTTAGTTTCGACGAAACCGTCAACCATCTGTCAGATAACTTCAGAGGTAAGTGCTCCTTGTTCAGTATTCGATACCACTGTCCCAAGCTGGTCAAGGACGAGATAGATGATTTTTTGACACTTGCTAGTGTCTTCAACCGCGAGTGTGAAAGGCTTAAGCTCCTTAGAGTTGACAGAAGATAAATGCAAGTGCCTCATCTTTGTGAATGCACTGTAGTCTCCTCCTAACACTGAAACCAGAACTCGACTGCCCTGAAAAATTGAACCGGAACAATACTCGACTCTGCGGATATTGACGGCCGAGCGTCGACGGCTCGAGAATTGTAAGCATGATTCTGTGATCGTGGAGCAACCCAGTTTTTCGTTTGTCGCTACCAATGTTCATCTTGTTACTCGCAGGAAGTCGATTTCACCACAAAATTCCCAAAACTCCACATTAAGAAAACCTCCATCAGCATGCTGGCAGTGCGGTGATTGGCATTTTGTTCACGTCTGCCTATTCACAAAACACTTATGTCAGAAATGCCACAAACGAGGGCATAAGGAAAACCACTGTCCGAAAGGCCAATCCCCCAAAAGGGCAGGCGACTGAAAGGCGTTCTACACGCCCTTCATGTTATTCCGACCTTAAGTCCTACCTCATTCTAGCCACGTTCCACGCTGATTTTGTGGCACAGATGAAGTGTCTTACGATCACTATCAATGACAAACCTGTACGCCTCCATCTTCAAACAGCCTCAGACATGAGTCTTATCTTCAAGCGCACTTGGCGAATGATTATACGGCCTCCGATGATCACATTGGACAAAAAGGATATGAATGTATGTGGCAGATTTCTCCGGCTCAATGGTGAGCTTTAATATAACGTTTTCTTTGAGGTCACTCAATTCACGTGAACATGCTACCTTACCTACCGTTCGAGGCTTGACTTACTTAGCCTTGACTGGATCGAGAAGTGCGCTCTCCTTGATTCGCCTCTTAACCGCATTTGCAATAGCGTGTATTCAACGCAGTCGAGTCTCGCCAAATCGAATGAGCTGGCGAAAAATCTGATGTTGTCGCCTCCACCTCCAAGGTGCGCAAGGACGCGAAGAAGGAAGAGGAACTAGGAGAGAAAGTGCCAGCAGCTTCCGGTAAACTCGCAGCACGGCGCGCAAAAGACGTGGTACCCTAACAAAGTCCCCATCCTCTTCTCTCACGACTGCGGCCGACTCCTCAGACCTCTCTTCGAGGGTCCCCAGTGCTAAAAGGACACGAACTTCAGAGGGACTAACCTCCAGCTGATCTCCCCAAGTCTCGACACGATTAGTCCGAGAAAGAACGCGAACGGTCCCGTTGCAAGTGAACCCGCAACTCAAATCTTACGGTTCGTCTCAAAAGGTGGACGTACTAGGAGGAGCTTAACAGCCAGATAGCAGGCAGTTGGCAAGCAAGCAGTGAGCGCACTCATGGCAGGCTATCGATTGGCCTACACGGGTAAACGCATACAGGCAGTCAATCAAGTAATAATTTAAAATTTAAACCGCAGCCTGCCGCTGAGTCACAAGAGAATCATGTCGCTACTCACGCCAGGACAGAAGCTGATTGGTTGAATGGACCGAGCTTCACACTCGTTTGTTTCCCTAAAAATGTTGTACTAGTTACACTCAAAGACTTCTGCGTGTGCGCTTCCTTGTCGTGTTCTCCTTTGGGGGCTCACACAAGACGAAATTAGGTGGTGACATCCCGGCCCTGGCTACCGTTAAAACATGGCCCTCGTGCTATTCAAAATTCCTTGGACAGAGTCTGTTGGCTTCGGCAAAATCATCTGCCATCAAAATACGCAAATCGGCCTTGTGCGTCTAAAAGAACTTCGAAACGGCGCCGCAGTTACCATTGGTGGAAGTCGTAAATTCGACCAACCGCAACTATGACCCTTCTCAGCTGTCGCTAACTCGGACCCGTATTTGCCCCAATATACCCCTCCCATTCCCACCAACCTTGGAACCGCAATATTTTCTAGTAGCCTGTATATCTAATGAAATTATTCCCTATATCAACGCACAGACCCGAATATAATTTATAGAAACCAAAGGTCCGCTCGTCAATTTATCTTTAGCACTCTGGGTTTAAAATCTTTCCTTAAAGATAAAAGTTACTTCCATTTATGGCTGAAGGGGTCTTCCAGTATGCATTCCAAATGAAAATACCACCAGCCCTATTTAAGGAGGAGTGACAACTAGAATCTATTCTATATTATTTGCATCGCTTCTCCCGAAATTAAACTGTATGATAATTAATGTCGCTGTATAATCACCCAGATGTGTCAATAAGCGTCCAGGTGTGAAAAACTACGTTTGCTTCAGGAGTTTTTAACCTGGAAATTTCCCCAATTCAAGTAAATGTAGCAGATGCTCACTTTAAGGGACAGATTTTGCAGCAGTAGTCATTGAAGTCAAATAGGCTTAATTTGGTCTACAAGTGAATGTTATATGCTCATGTAGAGTTGGAACCTACCCCACCATGGCAGCAATCGGGCGCCTTATTTCGACGTCACTATCCAGGATTGGTGGCATCGTATACGCATTTGTATACATAAGTAGCATGGCTTCGATTATACAGGGGATGACGGG